AGACCAGCAGACATTTTTAAAATTACCTGCCATAAAGTCCTCCAACCAAAACTGTTTTTTTGCAAGAATTTAGTCAATAACCAATGAAGCTGGTATAGTGAAATGTCTGCAATAATTTGTCAACCTTGAAACATTTACACTTGCTGTGAGAATTTCTCTCCTCTGCTAAATTGCCCTTTTCTTCCTCTTCAAGGAAAATATGTTGTTTTGTCCTTGCAGCTGTTTCTCTCTGTGAATGTCACTTGACTTAATGTATGATGCTTTTCTTTGAGTCAAGCACATACTTTTCTTATACTGCTGACAGTGACAAATGTTGTGTGCAACTACAGTATTTCTTTACTAATGTAGAATCCAAGAGAACATGTATCTTGGATGAATATGATGTGAATAGAAATGCTCATGAAGAATTTCTGAATACTGTATACTGTATTAACAAATGTATTCATGAAGTTTGGGACTAATTATTTGAAAAGGTAGGAGGAATCTTGGTTGCCCTTGATTCATTCCAAGCTGATATATATATATACTGTATACTGCACCCTGTTTTCCTAGCAATCCTCAGAATTAATCCAAGCCCTAATGTGGTTATATCTCAGGAAGCCTTGTAGCTAATTTAGCAAGCTTTCCTTTTTCAGAACCATTTTGTTTTAATAGTTGTTCAAGAAAATACTTGAAATGTATTATTCTATACTCCATTGTTTTGTATGAAGTTGTATACCAGTGAACCTCAAAAAGTTAAACCTCCCCAACTCAAAGTCTTTTTCTGTAAAGCCTCTGTAAGTTGAATTTTCTGAGGCCTTCTGGTTATTATTTCCTTGAAATGTAAAAGAGAAAATGATTAAAACAAATAATTTGATGCATTTTGACAGGAAGTGAAAGACAAATATATCTGAGGAACACCTGCCTCCAAGTTCAGCAATCATTTAAACTCATTAAGAAGCAATTTTAGGCCCAGAATATCCTAATTTACAATTTCTCACACTTTTTTCACTTCTCCTCGCAACAAAAGTGTTTGTTTCCTCAACTGCAAACCTCCAAAAATCAAAACCTCTCGAAGTCAAATTTTATTCCTGGTCCCTAGAAATTCAACTTTCAGAGGTTCAACTGTATTTTATTGGAAAACAAATTGAAAAGCTGGGCTTCAGGAAAGATTTTTCAGGCTGAATACATAAATTATTTATTTCAGCAGGTGAAACATCGAAGTGATGTTACAAGTAAAGTCAACTTTTATTTTTCATCAGATGATATTTCAACTGTCATTGTCTTTCCAAATTTTCAGATGAAGGTAAAAGACTACCTTTGTTTAATTTATTATGTTGAAGAAAATTTCCCATGGACTGACAATGAACTTATGAACACAGATATCGCCCTTGCAAGCTTTTCTAAAGGTTTTTTTTTATAATTTTAGGGACGAACAGGAAGTTGGTTTGGTGTACTTCCGGACGGCTTATGGACCAGATTTGTACCTGAGTGAAGCGGATTGGGAAGCGAGGTTGATGATTGAGCGTTCGCGTGCGATCAAGTGTCCTTCGATTCAAGTTCAATTAGCCGGCACGAAGAAGGAATATTGCTTTCTTCATATTTATCAATTGATCGGCGTTTGGAATCTTTGCAAGAATTTATTTCTTGATATTTGTACGCAGGTTCAGCAGGTTCTGGGGAAAGCGGCTGCACTGAAAAGGTTCATCAAAAATTCGAAAGATCAAGAAGGCATCAAAGGGATTTGCGCCGGATTGTATTCGTTGGATTTAGTGAGAATCTTTTGTCGCTTTTTGAATTTTCTGTTTAAACGTATATTTACTGGTTCAGTGCCTTCATTTTTGCATTTTGATAATTTGATGCATTATTTATTGTTACAAAAAATTACTTGATGTTTCACTTCAAAAAGTTTAATATATTCCTGATGGTGAACCAGAACTTCTGCTAATCTTGCAAAATAGGAGTACTGAGGAAGTTGCAAGTCTAAAATTCTTTCAGTATGCCAAATAATGCAGGAATACAAGATTTGAAAAATCCCTGGCAGTGAAAAATGTTTCAAAATACTGTACAGCACATTAACAAAAATTGGTTTCCATAAGTTGTTGGTAATCGAATGTGGCCAGATTTTACAATATTTACTTTATTTCTGTAAAGAAATTTCAAAAGTTTTGGCAATTTCTTCTTCTTTTTTAATTTGGAAAAGTGTGTTATTCAAGGCACAATTAAAATTTGTTTTATGAATCACTTGTTATGAGCATAGCCCTTTGTGTACTGTAATTTTATTGTGTTAGACTTCCATACCAGTACAGTATCAAACTGGGGTGCCCAGCCACACCTGGGCATCATGTTCAAAATCCTTGGAAGATTTTGAGAAATTTCAATATTTGAAGCTGTTCAAAGTCCTCTGGTACACATGGTGATTTTTCATAACTAAAACTATGCAGAATTTTTAAATTCTTCAATCATCTTGCCGAAAATGTAAAAAATATTCCTCTCATTCCTAAAAGTGGCATTGCCTAAGAATTCAGACCCAAAAAGCCAACCTCATTTTCATGGATGTGAAAGTTGGCCTTTAATGCTTGTGTTTGGAACACAGTGTGCCCAGTAAAACATTGAGTAGATATGTACCGTACAGTACTGCATTCTCCTGTTTAAAATGTGCATATGTAAAGTACTTTTTCTTTGAATCTCGAGGAAGATTCCCTCCCTGTGTGTGATCACACTCCAATTTTCAGTTTCCAAAATGATCAAAAATTGAACAGTTGCAAGACTGGATTGTGTGAATTTAGGCCCAAAAACACTTGGTTTAAAATGTTGTTTATTCTATATTTCCAAATCAACGCGGTTGTGAGGTTTAAAAAAAAAGCTAGCTCTGAAGAAGTTTGAGTCAGGTAATAAAAAAAAAATGTTCAACTGAGAACTTGCATCCAAACAACAGGCACTCAATTGTTGAAGAAGAACATGTCAAAAGTGTTGGTGAAAATCATACTTTATTAAATATGGTATTCACCTTTCTTTGTCAGAATGGTTGCTGTGAGAAACTTTTTTTCCTGTTCCCAATGGCTTTTTTTTTAATAAAATTTTACACTATTTAGGATACAATGCCTCTAGTGTCTTCTCCGAAAGCTCAGGAGACATAAAAAAATCGCAATCGACAGCATCCAACAACAATAACTTGCTTTTGAATCGCAAAACTCTCAAAAATGACCCTTTTGTAAGACTCTTTTTTCTTGTTTTCCTCAATCAAGTCAACAGAAGGAGACAAAATGGCGGAAATAGCCATGAAGCATCCAAACGCATTTGTGATGAAGCCACAGCGGGAGGGTGGCGGACACAATCTCTATGGCAAGGAAATCAAAGAGACTTTGCAGAAACTCGGGAATAGCCAAGAGCGTTCCATGTACATCCTAATGGACAGGATTTTCCCACCGACGCAGAAAAATTACATCGTGCGGCCGAAGCTTGATGGGCCTCCGGAATTGGTTGATGTCATCTCTGAACTCGGAATATTTGGTGTCATCATAGGGTAATTAAAGGACATTTTTAAGTTCGTGACGGATCATACTTGTCCTCCATTTTGAAATGCAGCTCGAACGATCGGATCATTTACAACCGCCAGGCTGGTCATGCGCTCAGAACGAAGTTGGCGAGGTCTGACGAAGGCGGTGTCGCGATTGGAGTCGGAGCCCTGGATTCTCCCTTTCTCGTGGACATAAATTGACGGATGGCAGATCAGACCAGGACATACATGTCAAAAGATGAATGTTTTGAGAACGTTTTCTTGGGCATTCAATTCTCTCAATGTCGAACCTGATGACTCTATTTCCGCGTAGTCAGTTATTCACAAATGCGAAACTAAAGTCACATGATGCTCAATAAAAAACTTGTCAATTTTGGTGAATTTTCTTTCAGTTACAGTCAACACATGCAACATAAGTATTGTACAGTTGAACCTCTGTAAGTCAGATTTCTAGGGACCAGGAAAAAATTTGTCTTCAGGAGGTTTTGATTTCCAGTTGAGGAAACAACACTTCCGTTGTGAGAAGTGAAAACAGTGTTAGAAATCATAAATGAGGATATTCTGGGCCAGAACTTACTCCTTAATAAGTTCAAATGATTGCTGAACTTGGAGGCAGGTGTTCCTTAGATGTATTTGTCTTTCAATTCCTTTTAAGATGCATCAAATTATTTGTTATAATCATTTTTTCTTCCATATTTCAAGGAAATAATAGCCAGAAGGCCTCAGAAAACTTGACTTACAGAGCTTTTAGAGAAAAAGACCTTGAGTTAGAATTGATACATTAAAAACCTCCCTAAGGGAATTCAGAAAGGGACTTGAAAAAAATTTGACTTGGGGAGGTTTGACTTATCAAGGTTCACATGTACTGTACATGAAAAATAGTGTTCCAAATAATTTGTATTACAAATATTGGGAGTCACAATCAAACTGTACAAATTGCTAAATTTTGAAAGTTAGAAGCATTTATTATCTGGATGCCTTGGGACTCCAAAGAAAATTAAGTTTGCAAATACTGCACTGTACATTGTCAGGACAATGTTGTTTAGTTTGAATTTATTTAATTGCAAGTTCTGTGCCATCTGCTGTGCAAGAAATGACAAGTTTCAGCATCAATTCATCTTGCCATCATTCTTACTGTTTGTGGAATTTTAAAATCATGAACCATCTTTAAAATCCCTTTGCAAACAATGCCCATGAAGTAGGAGGGAGAAACGCCTCCTTCTCATCGAAATCTAAATCACTGTACAAACAGAAAACAACTGGCTAGCCAATAAGTATTTTTTCTGAACATTCATTAGTATCAAATGAATTAATCTAACGATATTGTTACAAAAAGAACAAATATATTTTCCCAATCAATAAGTAGTAAAATCCTTGTTCCACAACAGCATTTTTTGCTGCGCACTGCAGCATCCTTTGTGGCCAACTGAGATTCCATTGTTCAAATAATCGCCAGTCCAGGAAGTTCCGTCAACGACAGATTCTTGTAACATTTGAAAGTTCATTTCGGTTTATCTTCCAACTCGTTCTTGACTCCAGCCACCAACGTTCCTGTGAAAATGAAGGAAATGTTGAAGTAAATTCAGAAACAGAAGAGAGCGTAATTCCACCATCAATTTATTTATATTTGAAGAGGAAAAATAATTGCTTTCAAGGATTCAATGTGGCGTTTAAAAAAAAGTTGGAATACCAAGGTAGAAGTCATAATTTGGCAAGAGGGCGCAAATTAAATTCATTAAATCAAACAGCAAATACTTCACCACATGACAAAAGACGGGCTCTTCCAAATACAGCAGAAATCCCATGATTTAGATAAACTCGCTCATTTCAACAAATATTCAACAATTTTACTTACCAGAAGTGAATAATTCGTTGAAGAAAGTAAGAAACGTTACATAACTTCAAAAAACTATGATGATATGGCAAATCTCGAAATAGTCACGATATGTAATTATTTCAAAAGATGGATCTCCTGATTCGCTTCCTCTCAATACAATTTTTTTTTTTTAATTCAGACATGATCAATAAATACTCAGGTAACCAGGATTCCGCTTTATTTTAACTTTTGTTTCATGAGTACAGTGACTAGCGCCAATCTTAAGTGAATTTCTCGCCAATTCCATCTCAAACCTCTCTAACTCAAAACGTTTTGACTCTATCCTCTGTCAAATTATTAATTGCCTCTGTTTTATTGAACGGGCGCTAATTCTTTAAACACCTATTCCACACCATGAAAATATTTTCGTTTCAATTTCCAAAAGAGATTCTACCAGCAGTTTCCTGCAGGTAGAAAAATCGAAGAATGATGAAAACTCTTACAATAATTACATCAGAAAATCCTTTCAATCACTTGACTAATCCCCAACCCAAAAACCCGGCAAGTAAAAAAAAAAATCTCGCGGAATCCCCTTCGAATTTGATTTACACAGGTTTAGAAACCACACCAAGTCCTTTACTACGAAAAGTCCTACCGTTATCTCGGGTAAAATAGTGGCCACGAAATTGAGAAATAGATGAAAATATGCAATTCCGCCCACCTGCAGTGTTGAGTTCGTTCACCGCATCTTTGCTGGAGGACTTGGTCTGACTTTTATCTGTCAATCGTACAAGGAAGATAAAATAAATTGCGCAAAAAAAAAGGCTAAACGACAAGCTCACCTCCTTCATCCGCACTTTTCTTATGCATGCGTCGCACATGCTTCAACATTTTCGATCCCAACCTGAAGGACTTGGCACACACTGGACACGTGAACGGTTTCTCGCCCGTGTGCAATCGCTGGTGAATTTGCAATCTGGACTTGTAATAAAATTCCTTTCCGCAAGTCGGACACGTGAATAATTTCAGCGCTGGTACGCGCACTTGATGCACGGTCCACATGTGGAAAGCCATCGATTGCACCTTCCCACACCCCACAAACTTTTTATCACACATGTTGCAGGGAAGCTCCAATCTCCGATCAATCCCATGCTCCTGGTTGAAAGAAAGAAAAAGATAACAGGTCAACAGATTAATAAATTTAGCACAGCGAGCCAGCGAGGGCAATACTAGCAGTTAAAATTAATTTCTGATCAGACAGCAGACCATTAACCAAGGTTGGGGATGCATACACAAGGATTGTCCCAGTTGGACGCAACCTCTGATATTTTCAGAGTAGGTGTGAACATTTAAAAGAAAATCAAGACCCCCACATGCGGACGCCTCGACATGGGGACAATTCGACATGGGGACATTTATATGTTAACAAAAAATCATAAAAAAGACCTGACATGAGGACACTGACTCAGCCTGGGGACATTGCACGATAAAATTCCAAAATAAATTTTAGGAAAATCGATTTTTAAAAGGCTTAATTGAAGATTGTTTCCAACCTAAGATCTATGCAAGAAAAATTATTTATAACTTTTCCCATCATTTTCCAATCCATTCAGCTAATTAAAAAAAAGCCCTATAGCAGAGATGGACTTCCTTCTATTGTAGCTCTCTTTGTGACATGGATGTTATTTTTCCAGATGCCAACTTTTCAATTTACTGTACAGAGGTACAATATTCAATGTTCCAAATGTTCTTACTGGTTTGAAAAGATATTCATTGAATCAACTTCAAGTGGCAAAAATTTTTCATGGAAAGGAAGAATATTTCTTCCATAAAACACCAATTAAAAATTATACAATGTAAGTCTATGGGAAAACAAGATTTGACTTGGGGATAATCCGACGTAGGGACACTCTTGAGTCTTGATGCACCAATTATGTCTGCGTCTGGGGGTCTCACTGTATTAGCCCATGATGTTTTGAGGTTATGCAATTGTTCTTCTGATTTTTGAAGAAAGGTTTTCCAATTTATTGCATGATGAAAAAGTGGAAACTTTGCAGTTTCAGCCGGAGTTCTCCACCCATGTCACAGGGTGCTAAAAAATTGAGGCTAGCTAAGAAATTTGATTTTTTGGCTTATATTTTTTTTACATTTTAGATTATGGTTAGAAGCTTAGAACAATTTTTCAGCTTGTCTGACAACTTTGTACTACCCTGTCTTATGGGTGGAGGACTCCGGCTGTCACTGGAAAGTTTTCACTTCTTGTCTCCAGTGAATTATAAAAATATTTTTTTGTGTTTGAAAAAACCCCCAGCATCTTGAAACATTACAGGCTTTGAAAAAACCCCCAGCATCTTGAAACATTACAGGCTATGACATGACTTTTTTTAGTTTTTTTACAATCACATCTACCATATTTACTCAAGTACCACAAACCCCTGACTAAGACTTGTACCTGGGTTTTCCAGTTGAAAATGTTGATGAATCATATGCCCAATTAAGATATGCACCAACTTTTTCAATGAAACCAGAATATGGTACTGTATAGTATTTACTTGAGTGACGCGTGTCCCTGATTAAGACGCACACCGGGGTTTTTCAATCAAAATTTCTTATAAAATGCCATCCCTGTGTAAGACGCACACCCCATTTTCTACAGACTCTAAAAGTAAAATATCAAAAAATAAACCAACCAAGATTGACTTCAGACATTAATTAATCCTGAATCCAACAAATGTTCAATTATTTCCATTAAAAAAAATATGTTTACCATTTTAAATATTTCCCCACTAAAATTGGTCCGAAGTTTCCCATAGAAATCAAATATAATTCAACCCTAAACTTGAAAACTTTTTTGAAAAAAGTACACCCATGACCCATCTACAATGCACATCCCATTTTTCCTCTCAATTTCAAGAAATAATGTTCAGGTGGTACTTGAGTAAAGGCAATACTGCATTTCAAAATTAAGAACACCCAAAATTGAATGTAGACATGAATTGAACATAAATTTGACCAATATTCAATTGTTTCTATTAAAGTAACTTTTCTATTAAACTTGGTCCAAAATTGCTCATTAGTCTCTAGTGCAATACACACCTAAACTTATAAAACTTTTTGAAATTCATATACCCATCTATGACGCATAACCCGCTTTTCTCCTCTACACTTTTGGTCAGTGAATATGGTACTCCGAAAATGTCAGAAGTCGCAATCCAACTGGGAAAACCCTCGCGTACCAACACTTACCTTGATCAAATGACTCAATAGCACGCCTCGATACCGAAACTTCTCCGGACACTCGGAACACACAAACATCCGCTCTCCAATGTGCACCACTCTCTGATGAATGCTCAACCCGTGCTCATCATTGAACGCCTTCCCGCACTCTTCACACACAAAGTCCCCTTCCTCCACACTGTGTTCCCTTCGCTTGTGCGTCTCCAGCAGCACCTTGGAATGAAACTCGACATTGCACACGTCACACTGACTCTGGCCCATGTCCCCGTGCACGGTTCTCCAATGCAATCGAAGCACTTTCACTGTAGCCACTTGAATCCCACATTCTTCGCAAATCTGCGGGCCCACGAGAGTGGGATCGAATTTTTGGGTCCGGTCTCGGGTTCGCGGGGCTCGTTTCCGCTTGGCACCCGCAACCGCGGGGGGTTGTTGTTGTTCCGTCGCCGGCTTCCGTTTCCCGCGTTTAGAAACTACATGAGCTTCTTTTCCTTTCGCCGGGGACTTGACAGGGGCGGTGGTTTTCTGTTTACGGGGTGCTCGCGTTCGTTTCACCGGCTTCTTGACGTCTTCTTCGTCATCGTCCTCGCGGAGATCCACTTCGCACTCGATTTTCACGGCCGCATCGTCGTCATCGTCATTGGCGGTATTGCGTTGCTGGTACACGCTGCAAATGGCGGCTTCGCACGAGGAGACTCTGTGCTTGAATTCGTCGAGAGACAGGAACAGGTTGTAGCAGCTACTGCACACGCGTTCGTCGGACGAGCATATCACGAAGTCGATGTCTGACAGTGTGGAAGTGAGAAGGGAGCAGAGTTGATCTCGGGTCAGAGGAAGTCGAACACTGAGCAACACGGAATCGCGGTCTGTCACTGATTCACACAGTTTGCACGTCAGCGACATCGCTGGAATTCTACTTCTGCAAACAGACGTAGAATCGTGATTCAAAACGATAAAATAAGCCTAGATTCCCTAGAACAAAAAAACAGTCACAGCTCTCCAAGTCGAACTTCAAGGGACCATCAAGAAATTCCAGTTAGGGGAAAAAGGCATTTACAGGAACGAGAATTAGTGGTGCTAAATTATTACGGTCGAACATCTTCGAGACGAATTTCAAGGGACTATAAAAAAAATTCGAGTCAGGGAAGAAAGCATTTTCGTTTGAGAAAAAAGGAGAGTTGAAGGACATTTTAATTGGGGATATACTGGGCCTTAAATTGCCTTTGAGTCGACAGGATGCTGAACTTGGAGGCAAGGGCTCATTTTAAAATTCAATCTTTCACGTCCTTTCAAAACATATCAAGTTACATTTTTATTGCTTTTCTCTTTCTTGTGTCAATAAAATAACAGCACAAAGGCCTTGAGAAACTTTTTTGTTCGAGGGAGACAGCCTTTGAATTAGGGAGGTTTTTGATTAAATGTTTTGGAATTCAGACAGGGACTTGAAAAATCCGACAAAAGGAGGCTGTAGTTTCGAGGTTCGTCTAATGTTCAGTAAAACTATAGATTCAAACGCTTAAAATCCGCGGATCACGTAATCCAAGAGACACGGAAACTCTTTTCATTATTCCTCCGCAACGAACATTCAGACTATAACTCAGAGAACTTGAAACAATCATCGGACTCAAACATAAACACACACACACACGCACAGCATTTAGTTTTTCGGCAACTTCAACAAGTTCTCCCCAGAACACGTCGAACCCCGCTGTGGAGTTTTAACTCCGATTGAAGCTCTCGTGATAACAGGAGTGGAGTCCTTTCTCGGGGTTCGATCCGAACCCGGGGTTCTTTTCCGTGGGGTCAAAACAATCGGCGACGGGGTTCTACCAGATCGCAACGTCGGAGTGATGCCCAATTTTCGGGTCATGAGCAAATGCGCAGCAGGTGACATGCTGCCGAGTCGACGAGATTTGTGGTCGCCGAATGGAGATGCCCTCGAGTGCTGGGACTGCACCACAGGCGTGGCTGATCGAGACGAGGCCTTGGATTTCTGAACGAGTTTCTCAGCCAGCATGTCTCGCTTCGGGGTGGGGGCCATTCGGAAAGAAGGGGTTCCGGCATGGCTCGGACCTTCCAAGAGAATCGGGGTTCCGATGACCTCACCCCATGTGAGAAGTGGAGAATCCACGTCGTCTGCAAAAAAATATACACACATTTAGAACAACTATACTGTACTTCGAAGGACAGTAGGAGAAAACTCTGATCAAGTTCCTAGGCTGAGATCGGTGAAAACAAATTTGTGAGCATTTCTGATTGTGATTAGAAGCAAAAAGTATACTTCCAACGAATTCCCGTACAGCTGAAACTTTTTCAAGTCAAAATTTGAGATACCAGCAAAAAACTTGAATCGGGGAGGTTTCGAGCTTGGAAAACACGCATTTCTATCGGGCAAATGAAAATAATAATTGCAGGAAATTTTAATTGGCGTTATTCTTGGCATGAAATCGCTTATCAATTGAGTTGACAGTGTGCTGAACTTGGAGTCAACGGTACATTTGACCAATCAGTCTTTCACTTCCTTTTTGAAACACTTCAAGTTACATTTTCATTGCTTTTCTTTTTCCGGTGTCAATGATATAATTACCAAAAGGTGTCGGAAAATTCAGCGTTACGGAGGTTTGATGGGAAAAGCCTTCGAGTTCGGTAGGCTTTTAATGCATTGTTTTTAAGTGGATTCAGACAGAGATTTAGAAAAAAATTCGACAGAGGGAGCTTCGAAATATTGAGATGATGTGAAACGGTATAAACCTGGTCTGATCTTCGGAGTAGACACAAAGTTGAATTTCGCTGACAAATCCTCGGCTTTTCCTTCATTTTCAAGTTTTCCGTCTACACCGATTTTCTCTCCCTTGCCAGCAGAACGCTTGTAAACTACACTTGTATCTTTCTCTGACTTCTCGACGGTCGGAAAAGGATTCGTCATAAGTCTAGTGCTCCCATGTTTGATAACGGGTTTTTGATTGGCGAGTTTTTCTTCCATGGTCAGTTCTTTGCCCTCTGGAACGAACATGACGGAGTTGTAAACAGGGCAGACGTCCGAGTCCATGTTCGCCGGCCGATTCGTTTGATCCGCCTGTTCTTCAATTGAAGGTAGAGCAAGTCTATCTTGCTTGCTAGTTTCGCCAGGCTTTGAAGGTGGATCATACATCCAGGCTTTCTGAAATGACGAACGAGGGGTATTCCGTTAATTCGAGCAGTGCATGCGAGAAATAAATAGCATTATAACATTCCAATTTTTACGTTGAAGCGACTCAATCGATTTTAGAAACTTTTTATTGCTGCGTAAAAACGAAGCAAGAATAACTGACTTTTCGACGACGTTCCGCCTCAGTTTTTTCCATCAAGATCCGGAAGCTCTCATTATCTTCACTCGTGTGTTCCTGTAGGAATGCATCCAGTCCATGCCGTCGCCATTTCCTCTGAGCTTCATCTGCCTTTTCTTGCATGAGAACAACCTGAAGCGGCTGATCTGACGAGATTTTGTCCAAAACCGGAGTCGCACCCGGAGTGTCATTGCCAAATCCCAGCGCTACTTCCTTCATATCGAAATCAGAAACCGTCGACGGGGTATCTCCGAATGACGAAGAAACTGAAGGGGATGGAGATAGAGAAGGAGACGGTAAAGAACCTTTCCTTCCTTCACGATGCCGTTTCAGTTTGATGTAGGCTTGGCGCATTCCACTGTAATCGCCCAAATCCATCGCTTCCAAATATTCCATCTTGAATCTCAAACTTTTCAGATCCGGAAAGAAATCTGCTTCGATGATTTTTTCCATTTCCTAAAACAAATTTCAATGATAATTTCCAGAAGTACACAAATCTGAAAGAGGGTGGAATACTCACAATAATAAATTCTTCTTCACCTAGCACTTTCTTCCCTTTCGTCTTCGGCACCGGCTTGAGTGGAACTTTGAACGTACCATCGTATTTTGCTTCATCTGCAGCCATCACCACTACACTCCCGCCGAAGCACTACCTGCAAAATAAATTACTGAACTTCGTTTCGATTTAAAATTCCTGTCACCTAGCCTCGTGTTCCGATTACGCGGAGTACGAATTTCGTTGATGGTCCGGAGCATCCATGATGGTTTCAAGTGAGTAATGCTCTTTGTAGACACACAAGCTCTCGCACTAATGGAGATGCCCTCCCAGGAAGATTATGACCATTACGAATGCGGAGGGATGTCCTGAGAAATCGACGTGATTAGGGTTTCCCCAGCGTGTGTGATTATCCATCCGATGAAATAGGATTAGACTTTTCGCGAGTGATGGTGTGGGAAGATCTCAACGAAAAATGCCGTGGATCCGGAAAGTTGTCTGTCGATTGCGCGGAATGATCGCAGTTTTTATTGAGTCGTCGGTGCTTTGAAGGATCGTTTCGACTGATGAAGTGATTTATTCCCGACCCAATGATGATCAGCTGCTCTCAATCAAGCCGTTGAGTTTATTGTCGAGGGTTTGCAACGCAATCATATTCATACTGTTCAGCTTCTGTAGCTCTCGGAGCTAATGAACTTCAGCGATGTCATGGGAAACGTCACACCGCTTATTCGGTTCGAAACGAATTTTTTTTAAACTCGCGTGGTTGAGAAATGTGTCCGTATTTATTTTTATTTTTATCTCAAAGGAAAGAACTGTCATCGAATTTGCATTACCCTGGATTTTTTTTTTTATTTGAGCACTTGATCTGGTGAATTATTCAGTTTTCCTTGTACCTCGGGGTGATTTTTGTTTTTGTCACTTTTTATGAGGATGAAATATATTCTTAGAATTACAGATAAGAATGGCTTCGAAGAATACCGATCCAGAAGTGGTTGAAGTTCGTGTGTGTGTTCGTGAATCATGCACGAACGATGCGATAGCTAGTCCTGAATGGGAAGACGAGTACTGCAGTGGTAGTTGTGCGGTTTTACACAGTAAGAAGGTGTTTAAGGAATGGGTCGCGAGCAACAAGAAAAAAGCTGCATCGACAGAGCAAGCTCCGGACAAAAATCCAGAACTTCAAACCGTGGAATGATCATCTTATTGACAATTGCATGGATGGACGAAAGCACTATTTAATTTCACGTGTTCCCAGCTTCGAAATTTCTCAGCTTGTTATTTTTTCAACGGAAGTGATATTGTTTTCATGCTCTCCAGTATGGTCGTATTCCTCAAGTTTTTTTCTATAGTGCAGTTGATCTTTAAATGTCTTGAATCAAAATATCTTGTCTCGCCTAGAAGAATTGCGCAATCCCTTATTTGAAGCATTGCGGCATGCTTACATTTGATAAGTGAAGTGCCTTCGATAAATTTCCTGGAAATATGTTACTTACGATGAAATTCTAAGGGACCGCTGTGCCGCTCTGTTCCAAAGTCCTAAATTCTTCTCAAGATGACGAGGTAGGTCGTGACCTGGCTTATAACATTTTCTGTGCAAGTAATCGTATTTCCTCTGTCTGAAGTGAGCAAAGTATTGCATCCGCTCGGGCGAGCGTGATGATCTACGATGATGGTCTTCGGAAATGGGTGCCGAGCGGAACTTCGTCTGGATTGTCGAAGGTTCACATTTATCAGCACGTTGCGAACTGTAGCTTTCGAGTTGTGGGTCGTAAACTGCAGGATCATGAAGTGAGTAGAAGCTCTTATCTGGTATATTTACTCGAATATAGGAAGACACATTTCGAAGTGTTCAGCCGTAGACAAGGGAAAAAATCGTTCCCACGAATTTAAGACGCACTTTCGTTCGTCTTTTTCCTCAGTCAGAAGAGTTCAGGTTGTATTCGTGTTTTGATTAATGTGTATTCCTTATCTCAAGAAATCCCTCCAGAAACCGAGATAGTAACTTGTTTCCTCTCGAACTGAAAATGGCTTCGAGAGGTTTTTCAATGTAATTTTGAGGCATGAGTGTGTTATATGTTTGTGGCGATTTTGTGAATTCCGCGGGACCCCGACGTTCGGACGATTTGACTTGAGGCACTTGGAAATTTACAAATCTGCCCCCACCCCGACTAATTTCTCAAGGTTCCGATACTTTTCCAACATTTTCTAGGAGAATTGAAAATTTTATTTCTAAAATTTCGATCTCTCTTGAACAAATTGAGCTGCTCATATTCACAAAAAATTATGCCCTTAAATTTATTTCATGATGAAATTACTCTTAATTCGTTATTAGAAACAGGCTAATTTTTTCTCTGCTTTTTTCTGTCATGTATGCAGAATATAGCTAGCCTTTTTTTGTTGTTCGCTTCTTAGCGCTCCTACTGATGCCAGAAGAACAGATTCTGTGTGGTTTTTTCTTGCTCAAGTATTTTCTGTATGTTGCAATTGAGAAAAAAACGTTATTCAATTTTTGGGGGACTCATTTTTGATTTTTGATGAAGAGGAGAACCAATTAAATACTGTATGTTTCTGTCGAAATCTTCGGGAAAAACGTGATCCGACATAGGGACAAAGTCCAAGCACAAATTACGTCCGAATTTCGTGGCCCCTCTGTTTTTGAGTCTCATTTTCGAGTTAATTCGGCATTTCACGACGAAACTTGATTGTGTGTGTGATTCAATTTTTTTTTGTGCAGGTTGTCATAAATTGTTCCGTTCTGAAAACGCTCAAGTATAACCAGGCCACGCCGACGTTCCATCAATGGCGTGATTGCAAGCAGTCGGTTTATGGACTCAACTTCAGTTCGAAAGAAGACGCGGACAATTTCGCCGCTGCGATGCTTCATGCCATTCAAGTGCTCAACAGTCCTCCTCCCCAGGCCGGACCAGGCGCTCCTCTACCTCCGACTCCGAGTTCTAGCTCTTCCAGCTTGTCGCAAATTTACAGTGGGCATCAGCCTCCGACTCCGCCTGTTCAGCCCATTTATCAATCTGTCCAGGGCATGAATGGGGACTGGGAGGATCCTTATTCGAGGTAATTTTTTGTAGAGAGCCAAAATCCGTTAAATTTCGTGTATTTTTCTGACGTTCAGAAATTCGTGAGATGGATATTTTGTGATGCTGTGCAGTTGAATTCCAATGGACCCGGAAAAAATTCGACTTGAGGAGGTTTTGAGTTGGTGAAACTACCATTTTTGCAATTTAAAAAATAAATCCTGAGCCAAATACCTTCGTATGTCAAATATCTTTTCAAGTGCCTATCTGAACTCTCTTAGAAACAATGTAATAAAAACCTCTCAAACTTCCAAAACTTCAAATTTCCTTGATGACTTCTGGCCATTTTTTTTTGTGACCCAGGAAAGAGAAAGGTAATTGAAATGCACCTTGATGCTTTTTGAAAGGTAGCGAAAGACTAATTAGGCAAATGAACCCTTGCCTCCACAATAAATTCAGCATTCTGTCAACTTCTTTATAAAGGAGTTTTGGGTCGGAAAAGGTCACTAATTTGAGCTTATTTTAATACAGTACTCTTCTTCTTTTTATGAGGCAAAAATGGTAGTTTCCCCAACTCGAAACCTTCGCTTTATTTTGCTGGTTCCTCGACATGTGACTGGATGTTCAACTGTAGTTGTGTATATTTGGATCTGAGGCGATCCTCAATGGCGTAGGATATCTGTCCTGAACATTTGGATCTCGTCGCGAATGAAAAAATAATGACCGTGTTCAAGAATTGAAGTAATATTCGTGCTCTTTCATGTTGAACGTTTATCTAGTAAAATATGTGTACAGTACTGATAATGTTCATATTTCGAATTTTAATTAGCACTTTTTGTTGTGTACAGGGGTGTGCAAGATCTTGAACAGGATCCCAGGATTATGCCAAGTAAGCAAGCTATATGACTAGTTCGTATCCCTTGACTGAAATTTGGTTTCATTTTTTTATTCAAGACATGGGTCAAGGACATAATGTTAATCCAAATGCCAGTATGCCTTCATTGATGGGGAATGCACCGCCTACGCCCCCGATGTCGGCGCCGGGTGGACACCATAGAACCTCTTCAGCGCCGCCTAACCATAGTCACGGGGCTCCACCGCCGCCACCTCCTCCGCCCCCAAACTTTAACCAAGTGAGTCTTCCTGCTTATCAAAATATCGACGGCTTACAGATACTTCGTGGTACCTTTTTCGTTCCACTTTTCCATGATTTTATTTGATTGATGAATTTTTTTTACCTGGAAGTTGCGCAATGCTTTATTGATATTGTCTTCAATTAAGTTGAAAAAATAATTCGTGAATGAAAGCCGTAATTTTTCATGTGAATAATTCTGTGCGAATTCCTGCTGAAGTGTAATAATGTACTGTGCGATATTTTTTTCTTGAGTAATATTTTTTGAACGACCCTTTATTGTTGTGGAATAATTTGCTCAAGGGTCCGCCGGCGCCGCCGCCACCGCCAGTTCCTTCTATGTCAAATGGTTACAACGGGCCGCCACCTATGGCCCCAGGACCGCCTCTCATGTCAAATGGCGGTGGTGCACCGCCGCCACCTCCGCCGCCTCCAATGATGCTGAATTCAGGAGAATCTCTGGGATCACTTGCTTCCGCGCTTTCAGGTGCCAAACTGAAGAAAAGACAGGTTGGTGAAAGTCTTTCCCACTGCTGTACTTTGTGGATTGTCGTGATTTAATTCCTGAAAAGCTTGATTCAATCCACGTCTACAAATTATGGTTATATACAAATTGAATTTAGACTGAAGAATGCAACGATTCGTTTCCGTAAAAAAAAAAGAGATTTGTGAGGGATTTTCAACTATTTTTGGTTAATTTTGTTTTCTACGTGCATTTATTCGAACTATTATCATGCTTGTACAGTACAGTAGTGTTTGTATTCTGTATCAAATTTCCAGTTGTAAGATAAAACCTTCCTTCACGGGTTTTACTGTTGGGTTTACTGCGAGAAAGTTTCTTTTTTTTTCGAAGACGAGCTACCAAATAACTTTTGAATCCCGCATCCCCAACGGAAACATTTCGAGCATGATAATTTTGAAATCTAATCTGGTTGCTTTTTACCTAAACCTGAATTTATATGAAATGTTGAAGTTTTGTGGATTATGGACGGTTCTGGTTCTGTACTTCTGTGTACGGGAAAAGATTTTAAATGTCTGTCACCGCTTCGTGTAATTGCGTTTCATGTCCTCGAATAACAATAAGATTATGATGATGATGCTTGAGGTGTTCAATTGAAAATCTGTTTTTAATTTCGTGCTGAACTAGACTGCAGGGTATATCTTGAAGATTATGTATTTGGAAAAAAATTTCACCAAATTATTATGATTTTTCACGAGTTATAGTGTACGAGAAGCTAGTGAATCCGTTTACCGGATGCAGTCGTATTTTCTGTCCATCAACGGTTATGTTCCGGTTGATTTACTTTTTTGTATTTACAAAACGTCAAGCTGTGTTTGCTCACTGTGCGGTATTGAGTTCAGTTTGTTCGAGGGTTTTTTAATCTACCGTTTTGGTGCTTTTGTTAGCTTTTACTGTTTCTAGAGCTGATCGTTCGTTCGTGGAATTTTGAAGTGAGTCAGCGTGGATTGAATCGAAGCTTGGTGAAAAACTTCCAGTGAATATTGCTCCGAACGAAGTGTTCTTTGGTGATGATTCAGAGTCATGTGTGTGTGTGTGTGTGCGTCCTATTGGTGTAGTTTGTTCCGGGGGACTCTTTTTCCTTCGGCGTTATCAGCCGGAAAAAAAAAACGAAACTCGGTCGATTTCCTCGCAACGCATCCGTTATCACTCAGTATTTTTTTTTCCGATTGTTTCCCTCTTTGTGATGCGATACGATGTCAGTCGGTGGAGTCGATCCAGTCGGCGAATAGTGGAAGCAGTGGAACTTACTCCACGTTGGGACGGAGCAATGGTGCGCAAGTCGCTGCAGTCGTGAATGCGTCGCCGTCTGGCGGCGGCGGGTTGGCCGGCATGATGGACGAGATGACCAAGACGCTGGCGAGGCGCCGAGCGATTGCCGAGAGGAAGGAAGTGAAGGAGGTCAGTGGTTGATTTCGCCGCCTTTTTTGTTTTTTGCGATTCGTTTGCCGTTTAATTGGTGTTTCAGATGATGATGATGATGATGATTCATGCCTGAAAAAGAGACTGGTGGGGACATTATGTTCGAACCTCTTGAAGTCGAATTTCGAGGGACCAGCAAAAATTAAAGTTTCGGAGGTTTCGAGTTTCTGAAACACGCATTTTTGTTTTGGGACATGCAGAAGAATTTCAGGAAATGGTAATTGTTGATATTCTGGGCCTCAAATTGCTTGAATGAGTTGACAGGATGCTGAAATTGGAGGCAGAGCTTCATTTGCACAATTAGTCTTTCAATTCTTTTCAAAACATATTGAGGTACTTTTTTATTGTTTTTCTCTTGCCTGTGCCATGAAAATACTGTAATAGCCAAAAGGCCTCAGAATATTTTAGTAACAAAGGTTTGAGAGGAAAAATCTTTGAGCTAGAGAGGTTTTTAATGTTGTTTTTTTTAAAGAGAATTCAGACAGGGACTTGAAAAACATTTGCCTTTTGGAGGTTTGAGTAATTGAGGTTCAACTATAATACATTGTGACTCCCACATGTGGACATCTTGACATGCAGACAATTAGACATAGGGAAACTTATTTTCTTGTAAAAAATTTATGAAAAAGACCCAACATGAGGACATTGACTCAACATATGGACATTGTGTGATAAAATTGCCAATGAGTTTCAGGCCAAATTGAAAGAAACAGATATTTCCAACCCTAAAATTGATGTATTCTTGGGCATTTCTCTCACCAATTTATAATCTGTTCAGCTGATTTAAAGAAATTATCTCGAACATGGAGGAACTTCTCTCTTTTTCACTTGAATGTTATTTTTACAGAGAATGTCAAAATTTCCATGTAATGTGCAGTGGCATCAGTATTCAATTCTCCAAATGTTTGTATTGTGTTGAAATATATTGATTAAAATCAGTTTGAATGGGAGACAAATTTTATTTTCATGGAATTATGGTGAGTATTTTGTCTATAAAAAACCAATTTTAAATTATATAATGTAAGTCTAAAGGAAAATGAGACTCAACTTAGGGACACTTGTGGTGCATCAATTACATCTGAATCTTGGGGTCTAACTTTACTTTACTCTACAGTATTGGTGTAGACCTTGTAATATGGATGTTTTGGGGACCAAGAAATGAGTTCATTTATCAGTAAAAATTTGTTGTGCAATACAGTACTAAGGGATTTATGCATTCTATTCATTCTTATTTACCAGTGGTGATGCAGTATTCATTCATTCAACCTCAATTTATTATATGTTTTACCATACCACAGCCTTTTAAGGCTGAAAGAAAAATTATTGTAGCGGCGAAACCCTGTTCTGAGGTGATAATTTTCCCTTTGCTTGCGATTCACCGATTAGTCGTGTTGCTGATGATGATGATCATCGTCCATGCTCGGAAAGAGGCCCAGAGGAATGTTAATATTGTAGTTTATTAGGTGAAATCTCTTTACTGTGTAACGAGCTTCTGGAGACAAAGAAATTAGATCGTTTAAAAAAAAGTGTTATGCCGTACCTGAATCAGGATTTCCTGGGGAATTTCTGTATTTTTAATTAATTTAACGTCATTCGTTCAACCACATCCCGATATTTTCGAGGAAAATGACAAATTATCACATGCGCGAAACTCCGTTCTTTGTTGATCACTTAGTCAATGTTGATTCTTTCAATCCGAATTCGCTTATTATTCTTCTTACCGTATCACATTATCTTCAAGCAAGATGAAAAATTATCGCTCCTGAAGAACGTTTCGCCAATGAAATGAAAATTTTCCTCCAGCAGTGCCTTTTTTTTTTTGTTTCTTTCATGCATTTGAGAGTTGAAATGTTCGGCTTTTTCACGGAAATACAGAAGTGTGATTCATGATTTGATTAGTAATATAACCTATGAAAAAGACGGCATGAATCATTTTCCTCAGAACGCAACCCTTTATTCCCTTTGTTTTTTAATCATGAAGAATTTCGATTGACGTTAATTGCTGTCGTGAGAATGCCACGATCGATTCGTAGTCCAAGCAAGAGGAATAAATTCCCTTTGTCAAGTGCATTGACATGATGATTTTCTCTTTGTTGCTTTTTTTTAACCCAAGTTGCTGGTATTGTACAGGAATTTCATGATTACGCTTCACAAACCGAACAAATATTTGTTGGGGTTCTATGTATGGAACGATTTTTATTATGATAATGGAGATGATTTTGTCTGCTTTTTTTTTTTTTGCGAAAGGACTGGAGTTGAGGTGCTTCGTGTGTCTGTTATGGTCATTTCAAGAAAGAACCTGCTATTGAAATTTTCAGAATATTGGAAAGCCGGAACTTGAAAAAGTTTTACTTCGGGACACGGTTTTCATGTGTGTTGCACTTACCTATTGCGATTTTTCAACGAGTCGAACCTCTTGAAAGCAAACTTCAACGGATCAGCAAGAGAATTCGAGTTCTGGAAAGAAGCATTTGTGTTGGGGGAGGAGAGAGAGAATTACAAGAAATTGTATTTTATGACATTCTGGGAATTTTAGGCTGTAATTTACTTGCTGTAGGAGTTGAAAAAATGCTGATTTTGGAGGCATGGGTTCGTTTGGCCGATTAGTCTTTTACTTTCTTTAAAAACACATCCTGTTACATTTTTATTGCATTTCTCTTTTCTGTGTCACAGAAATAATTGCCAAAATGCCTCTAGATTATAATTACGTTGCGAATTTCCATGCGGTCAATGATGCCCTTGTATTTTTCTTCCTTCTCTCCTAAGGACAAGGACGTGTCGGACGGACAAAAGCCCCGTGAGAAAACGAGTCCCGGGTCTGGTTCGCTGAACGGAACCCGTGGGAGCAACACTAGCATTGAGGAGCGATACGGGAAGACGCAAGGAGCGAACGGGTCGCAACTCGCAGTCACTACCACCACCAGCAGCAGTGGATTAGTCAACGGGGATTCCGCCAAGTCCTTGCAACGAAGAACGAGTTCCACGTCTGAAGAAGGCGTGAAGACTGATGGCGGTGATGCGGACGCCGTTTTGGCGGCAGTGAAACAGGAAATGATGCGCGAGTTGCGTGCAGAGATCAGTCAGCTGCGGTCAGAGATGTCCGACGAGTTGCATAGGATCAAAATGGAAATTATTGAAGGTCTGTTGATGTTCAGTACTGTACTCGAAAGTTGTTACTCTTTTCGTGGTGTCTTGGTTAACGCACTGTATATTTTCTTATCACTTTTGAACCTTGATAACTCAAACGTTCCCATGTCGAATTTTTTTCAAGTCCCCTTCAGAATGTTCTTGAAAAAAATGCAGAAAAAACCACTCTAACTGAAAGGCTTTTCCTCTGAAACCTCCATAATTCGAATTTTCTGAGGCCTTCTGGCTACTAGTTTCTGGACACAAGAAAAAGAAAAGCAGTAAAATGTAGCTTGGTGTGTTATTACAAGAAGTGAAGGACAGATTGGGGAAATGAACCTCTGCCCCCATGTTCAGCATCCTGTCAACTAATTTGAGAAGCAATTAAGGCCCAGAATATCATCAACAATTTCCTGCGATTCTTCTCTCTTTCCAGCAACAGAAATGCTCATTTCCCAAACTCAAAAACCTCCCCTACTTGAATTTTTTGCTGATCCCTTGAAATTCTACTTGAAGAGGTTTGATTGTAAAACAGTGAAATCTCATTACAGAAAACTCCCAGAAATCTGATGAAAAACTTCAAAAGTTTTATTTATAGATTTTGTTTTGTTTTTAACACATCTCAGATAAATTTGCAGGAAATTTGTAATAAATACTGCAGAAGTGTTTTTAAAGCAGATAATTTAATAATTTTCAAAATTTTCTGATGAATTGAAGAGGAAATGTTTGGAATAAACATTACTTTCCTTTCATTAAACATGCATTTTTATAAGTCCTAGTAGTATTTTTGAAAGTACTTGTAGAAATTCTGTACTTCCTAATGAATCAACTTATTCATTCATGATAGCTCATTCTTTTGAATGGAGGAAAATTCTTGCGAACATACTTTGTTTTATTAAAAGAAAGGCTTACCTTCCAAAAAGGAGAATGTTTTGTAATTTTTTGAACACAGAATTTTTTTCTCAATGATTTATTCTTCTTCAATGAAGTTGGAATGCTACACAATTTCCATTTTTCTGCCCTGCTTAGTTTTTGGGGACAGTCAGGTGTGAATTCCATAAATTGAGGCGACATCTATGTACAGTAATTGAATATAAACTTGATATAGGGTGTTGAGACAATTGGGGTACAAATTTAATTCGGTTGAGTGGTTAGTGGGAGACAGAAAGGCATTAAGTAATTAGATTTGAATGAGTGCTCAACTGAGAAAATACTGATTTATATTTGTCATGTGAAATTCTGGTTGATGGATTGCGATTCATTTTTGTCTAGCTATCAAAATGGAGTTCAACCGCAGGTAATGCGGGTCAGGAAGAACGAAGCTAAGCTGCCGAAATAGTCTTAGGATTGCCCTGGAATATGGACAAAAAGCCTGCATTTTTCGGGAGAAGTGCCGAAGAAAGGAAAATACGGACATTTTGGAACAAAAAGACGGATGATCATGATTTTACTGAGGATTCAAAATTCATTGCATTTAGTGAGCAGTTACGGAGCTTGTGTAATGGTCATACATTCCCAAGACGCAGTCTTGGCGTTTTGCTTGCTTACAACCTCATGGCTTATGATACAGGTATTTCCTTTGCATGTTTATTCAGCGGAAAAGAGAAAAAAGCGTTTGTTTGATTTAGTTTTGTTTTTTGTATGTTCGCGAAGTGAGATCGTGTTTCGACGCATTCAGTCACGGATGTGTCATGAGCCAAAGACTTGATTTTATTCCTGCGCGCATGTCGGACACGTGGAGATGTTTGCGCTTTTTTTTTACTGCCCCCGGTTTTTATTTTGTTTTTCTTTTCGGTTTTTGTCAACACAGAGAGCTGGAACTCATTTTTGAATGTTTTGGTTTGAAGGGAACGTCCGGTGAAAATCGTACATGACTGAGAGTACTTGCACAGGGAATACTGACAATTTCGACTGCCTCTTCATGGCTGTTTGAAAGAAGAGCACTTTTTTTGAGAATCTTTCGTTTTAGAAGTAGGTTCGAGTTTGAATTTTTTTTTTTACGTTTTGCTATTTTGTTTTGAGAACCCTTGTAACCTATTAACCTCGTGGGGTATTAATGAAATTGACGAACTATAGCTGGGATTATTGCCGGTTTCTGAAATTTTGCGCGGTTTTCATAATTATAAGAAGTGATATGACGTCAATTACGGTTATTTTAGGCAAAGCGCAGTGGTCGTGAAATTCGGTAATTTTCACGTCCTCCGATGTCGTTTTGAAAATTTGTGAGTCAGTATTAGATTTGAAAAATCACTTCTTTCTTCCCATTCGATGGTTGATTTCCCGGACTCCGAGATGCTGTCCGACGCCATTATCAAGTTGCATGATCCTCGAAGGAGTTGGCATGCAAATTTGAATGTAGTCCTCAAGTTTTGCTAACGAAATGCGTTCTTTTTGAAGTCTGGGTTCGGGTTTATTTTTTAGAAGCAGCCCGTATTTGTTGACGGAAAATTAAAATCAGCACGAGTTGATCATGAGAAGGGTGGTTGCGGTATTCGGGCGACACATGAAAGAAATTTCAGAGAGGTGCGTTCACGAAAGTGCCAATGCGCCCTTAAATTATTTCAGTTCAGGTAAAAATGGCACTGATACCGTACTGTACTACGTTTTGTTACTGGCAAAAGTGAACAAATGGAGTGAAGGACTCGAAATTCCCTATGAAAAAAGGTTTCTCTTGCAATGTATTTTGCGCGGAAGTACAACTCGACTGCCAGATGTCGCCTCGCGCGCGTCGTCACCGCATGAAGCCGTGCCCTGATGATTTAATTTTTTTTTCGTCATCTCCATTCCGTTTCCATCTGTTTTGTTTTTCTGCTTGCTCCATTCCTCAATGCGTTTGTTCCATTCCTGCTTTACCAGAATTCGAGAATAGGTAGATGGGTAAAAGAAAACTCGCGCTTTCGTGATGTGTGCTGTGCACGCGTGAGATCACGGACTATATTGTATTAGATTCGTTGTGTGCGGAACAAAACAGGGCTTCTCGTGTCGGATTTTTTTTTTTTTAGGGGGGGAGGGGGAACAGCTTGATTGCTTAATGTGCTAGTCAGTATCATTCTGTTTTATTTATGACTCTGTTCTGGAGGAGGTTGGAGGGCGTGTGCTCAGATCAGAGGGATTGTATTTTTGCAAAAGCTCTTTTATCCTTCTGAGATGCTTGGAATTAAAATCCAACTTCTGTGTCTTCCGAATTGTCTAATGCTTTCTTCATGGCGTTGGCTGGGCCGACTCAATTTTTCTTCTTCTTTTCAGGGAAGAATGTTTCAATCTCCAAAGATTTGAGGTGATGTGGCTTGAAGGATTCCTCGAAAAAGATGCTTATTGAATTCTTGAATGAACGCTGATTTTGGATGAATTGAAAAACTCTCCAAGATAACACTGATGAAGCATGAATAATGTTGAAGCCTTCCACGTCGAAATCAGAGGGTCCAAAAAAAATCTACCTGGGAAGTTTTTGAATTGGGGAAACCCAGCATTTTTTTTGTGGGGGAAAATGGTGACTTCTGATCTGGAGGGGCTGCTCATTGTATCACAGTTTCTCAGCATATAGAAGTCTATTGTGATTTTTATATTGAACCCTTTATAATGTAATACCCTAAAATGGTTGTATGTACCCTAAGAAAAATTATCACTGGAATGGATTGTTTGCTTTGTGGAGTGCCATTTTTGTAGTTTTCTTCAAACTACTGTATAGGTAAATTATTTATCCAGTTTGACCTCTTTAACTAAAACCTCCCCAACTTGAATATCTTCTAGGTCTAAGCATTATCAACTCTAATTCCTCTCCTAGACTCACAATTTCTCCAAGTAGAATTGTTTAGTTGGACCCTTGCATTACACTGCATATACCTGATACACCTTATATTTTTTTCATCTCAGTCTATTTTCATCAAGTTGAGCAGAAACTGAACAAAAACGTTGGGGAAATTGTAAAAGTTTGGGTGACAATTTAGATTTTGGACTTGGAAAATCACCAGGAGCAGCATGGAGTCATTACATTTTATATCATGTAGTGGGTGAAACTCAATTTTTTTTTTCAAAAAGAGAATCGCAAGTGTTGTACTGGTGAGATTTTTCTGGGGAAAGGTCAACATTGTATGAAATTGGTCCTAATTCATTCCCGGTGCATGGCAGATGTTGTCGGTCCCGCAATGATCTGTTAACGGATAGATGTCGCTATGTACTGTAGTTTCTTCGAATCCCAACAACCGGTACAGTATACAGTACTAGGTTGAAAAAAGGAATCCTCGCATATCAGTGATGAGGTAAGTTTGCATATGGTTCGTATATTTTGTGCTCATTATTGTGAAGTACTTTTGTGAGATAACCCAGGACGCATATTCGATTCGCATGTGCAATTATGCATGAGTCTTTCTGAAAGAAGACGGAAGCAACAATTAACGATCGAGGTGCTGAATCAATTCCGGATGACGGTGAGCGGAGGCGGAACATAGAACCCGTCAGTGATTTGAATGGTCGGGACATTGCCGTGATACGGAGGGTTCGGTCTGCTGGAACCCTTCTGGGAAATCGCGGCGATATCTACTTCCGGGATCTGAATGTTGGGCTGAGACTGGTTCCCAAGGATGACGACGGGAGGTGACTTATCATTGTGGTTCGAGTTGGGACGTGGTTCTTCTCCGCAGGGACCTCGGAACGAAATGGTGATGTCGGACTTGTCTGCGCAGTTCTTGGAGTCCAGGGTGCAAATGTTGGGGTAGGAGACGCCGTCAGAGCCGCAGACTGGGCTGTAGATCGCCGGGCATAATTGCGGGCACTCTGGAAAACGTATATACAATACCGTTAAACCTTGCTAAGTGGAACCTGTGTAATTCGAGTTAGAGAAAGGGTTTTCCTCTCAAACCTCCCAAGCTCGAATTTTCTTATGCCTTTTGGCTATTATTTTCTGCACACAGGAAAGAGAAAATCAATATAGAATCTAACTTGAGGTCTTTTGAAGGAAGTGAAAGACCAATTGAGTAAATGAGCCCTTGCATCCATAGTTCAGCCTCTTTTCTACTCATTTAAGAAGCAATTTAAGGCCCTGAATATTACTAATTATAATTTCTGGCAGTTCTTCTATCCTTCCTCCCACAACAAAAAAGCTTGTTTCCCTACCTAAAAACCTCCTCATCTCCAAATCTTTGAAAGTCAAATTTTTTTCTGGTCCCTTGAAATTCCATAGTTGAGCAGTTTGAATGCATATATGTAAAGTATAATCTTATGCTGATATTAAATTAAGGTACTGAAATGCTTGAGAAAGAACCATTTCTATTGAGGGAAAGAAAAAACTGCATTTTTTATTATTCATAATTTTTTTCAGGACAGGCTAGCAAATGTTTGCTAGGCAAGTCATTTTTTCTAATTTGCCTGGGGTTTGTTAGGCAATGCATTTGCTAAAAATGAAATTTGAGTTCAAAATTTCAAGGGATGCTCAAATTATGATGAAGTTAAAATTCCCTTTCTGCTTTTATAATTCTGCTTCTGTCCTGAAATGAACATATGGAAAATCCTTTTCAATTTTTCAGCTAATATGCATTTTTTTTGTTTCATTGTCTGTTTTGAACATTTTTCTGCTTAATTCCCTTTATTTTATGCTAGTTTTCCACCAATTAAATGATTTCCCATGAGTTGCTTTGGGAAATCATGTCTTAGAGTACTCAGACATCAATAAACCCCTTATACTCAGGGAATGAATAACCATCAGCCAGTGGAATGGATTAGGGTTGTTCCTCAAGGCAGTGAATGAAGTCACCTCTGTACAGTATTTGCTTACAGTGGATTCCCTTCTTGGGTCCCTGATGTTCACTGGTAACAAAATCATTGGAATTTCTTTTAAAATGATTTTTTTGGTTGCAGCAAAGTTTTATTGATCCTGGTCTCAAATGATTTTGCTGTAATAACCTTTTAATCATTCTAAGTTTTATTAGTGAATTCTTGGCTAATGCCTAAATTCAAGGCTATTTAAACCTAACCAAAAAAATTTATGAATCAAACCTTTACTCCTTTATCGAATTTTAATGCCTGATGAATTTTAATGATTAATACTAATGCATTTTAACTCAACTTGGAGATGAATTTCAAAGCACCTGTTCCAGAAAACCGAGAAAATTGTTTAAAATTGTTTTTTTTCTGTTTTCCACAAAACATTTTCCTGCACGTATAGAACATCTATTTAAAATTAGTAGTGCTACAAGACGGATAAAAATAATTTCCTCTGATTTCAACCGAATGCGGCCAATTTTCCTCTGTCAAAATAAAAACTCTTCATGCCATTTTTAAAAAATCAAAAGGCCTCGCCCCACTTGGTCAATTTGCAGGCAATTTTGATTGAAGTGAAGAACGAAATTGTCAAAAGGAGTGTTGATAGAGGCGTTTTTTCATCATATGTTTCAAAATTTTATTGCTTAAAAAAATTGAATGTTTTCTTCTTGCCTCAAGGGGAAATGGACTTGGACAATGAAATGAAACAATATGTAGGAACAAAATACTGTTTTGATCAATGACATCACCTGTTGAAAAAGTGTATTGAACATCCCTGTATTGCTTACACATATAATGGAAAACAACATTTGGGAACAGCACAGGGTATGTCAACTTATATTTCTGTATTTCAGCTCCAATGCAATTTCCAGAAAATGTTTTAAAACTAAGGAATTATCCCAATGACTACTTCTTGAGAATCACTGTACAGTAATAAAATTCCACTTCTTGATTGAAAATTTTTCAAGTAGATACTGTAGAAGATTTTTAAAATAAATTAAAGATAATTTTATTTTAATCCAAAACAATTTTTATTGAATTGAATACTTTCAGATCATGGATTCATGTAAGTATATGAAGTAATTTTCATTTATTCTCTATAAACAAACATGCTCACTACAGACACTCATCAGAAACTTTGATACATGGGGTGCATTACAATTTGACCCTAATCTGTTCCCAAACTATGGTCAAATTTCAAAATGGTCAAATTGCAAGACAATACAATCGAGGGCAAACAGCACAAAAACAGTAGGAAAGAAGCTAAAACATGTTGTATTATTTTGGGAAAGAGGTCAAATTGCAAGTTGACCTCCAAGCCAATTCAACCATTGAATTGCAGGACAGTCAAATTGCAGGAGGTTGAATTGCAAGGTACCACACGGTAATGATTATTTTAAAAGATACTATGCATGAGTACACCAGTGCTACATTAGTGGGGCCTTGAGCTACATCATACCTAATCTGTTCAGGCATGCAGTGGTTTTGTTGGTAAATGAATTTGTTCTCTAAAAAGTCATTGATTTCTATCCAACCTTTTTGGGCCTGGCTGAAGACCAGCAAAGTTCCATAAAATTCTTTGTGGATGTCACTGGCAAATTTAAAAAATTCTGTGTACTGGTAAAGGTTCATGAAATTTTCTCAGACTCAAAAAAGTGTTGTTTGAAAGACTTCATGGCTGGCAGGTATCTACAAAGTTTCTAATTTTTTTAAAAGTTCAATTCAAGAATCAATGAAGCAGTTGCAGTGGAAAGTCTTCAAAAATTAGAAATGTGGATTTGAAGAAAGGTTTATCAGCATGGAAAATAAAAAAAAATATTTCAAACTGGTAAAAAAGTGTGTCTGGAGCATTATTAGGAGAAACCTGGCTTTTATTTTTCATTTAATAATTTCAAATTTCATTGTCTTTCTGAAAGTTCGGATAAAGATTACAAATTTCATTGCCTCTCTTGATAAATTAATTATGCTGAAGAAAATGTTCTGCAGACCATGAGAAAAACCTTCCTCAGACAGGTGCCAGTCTGTGTTGGACCACAGGTTGGGAACACTACAATAATTTATTACAGCCAAAAGAAGTATACTACAGTATAGATTAAAATTGAATTAGATTCATATAAAAATGTCAAAAACAACATTGAAAGAAATTATTATCAGTCCTTATAAATTAAAATTATTTTGCTTATTAGCAGATGAGTTAGGATTTGGGAATGGAAGATACATTTGAATGTTCCCAAAATTTAAATTTCCCTCAAATTTGTCAATGGAGGTGAATAACAATTTTGCCTTTTCAATTCATTCATGTGAATATAAAAATGTTGTTCTGTTTTTGTTTACCCATTGCCAAGGTTCACTCCTCAATTCAAGTTTATTGCCTGAGGCCAAATGGCGACCAGCACATGAGCAGGTTTGCAATTTAGGTAATTTTCTGCATACAGTATGAAGGGCGGTGTATTTTGCCTCAGGCAAATCCAAGGAATTATAATTTCTTGAAACTACGCACAATATACAGTACACATTATTTTCCAGATTATGCGCTTGTGATCTTATTTATTCTCCTCTTCATTGATCAGTAACAAGAAAAATTTTTTTAACAGTGAAGATCTTCTGGCCTAAATAAAATTTATCAGAAAAAAAAGAGGAGGAGGAACCCCATTCTTACACTCTTAAAAATAGGTTCGTATGTATTTTGAAAATAAAACGCATCTGAATTTAATAATGTTGGCTGGGATTCACCATAAAATAAATGTATTTCCAATTGTTTCAAATTGTTTTTTTTTTAATACGGTGAGACCCCAATATAAGGACACCCCATTATACAGACAATTTGCCTTGAGGACATTTGAAAACCAAAAAACAGACCCAACATGTGGACATTGGCTTAAGTTAGGGACACTTTTCTGAAATTTTCCCAAAAAATTGAATCAATTAATTTTTTTAATTTTGATGTATTTTGAAGAAATTAAGCTGTTTATATTCACAAAAATGAAGAAATATTTCATGATAATTCACTCTTAATTCATAATAAAAAGCAAGCTGATTTTGTGCATCATTTTCAGAGTTATTTCTATCATCTGTGCATATTTTAGCAAGACATATTCTTTTTCTTTGCTTTCTGATCTCCTTCTGATACCAAAAGATCACAGATTCTATTTGGTTGTTCTGCACTGTTGGTTTTTTTTGCAAATTACAGTTGAGGGAAATAATTTTAATTAAATTGTTTGAGGACTTATTGTATCTAATTTTTGGCAAAAAGGAGAACCAATTAAATACAGTACATTAGCATTGAAGTCTAAGGGAAAATGAGACTCAACTTAGGGAAATTCTGTCATCAGGACACTCTTGATGAAACATTTTTTTTTGCATCTCAGGGTCTCACTTTGTGTGTCAAAAAGTTTTGTAGGAATATCAAGCGTACCTAAACTTATAAAAAATTTAACATGTTGATACATGTACCTGCCTATGATGCTCTCCCTTATTGTTTTCCCAATTTCTGTAATTTCGAAAATAATTTTGCATGGTACTTGATTGTGGTATATATTGGGCTTTTTGTTGAAACAAAATTTTTGAAAAATCATAAAAACTGATAATAGCCACAACAGCTGCAACACACCAAAAAATCTGCTGCTTTGAATTTTGAATATTCTTCATGCCAGAAGTTCAGTCACACAAAGCTATATGCTGTACATGCAGTATTTGGTTTTATACAATTTATTGACGTTTTACAAAAAATAAAATCTGCGCCAGCATCACTGACAAGCATGATGGGTAAATTTATTAAAATTTCAGTACCTTCAATGTTCGTTGTTTTTATATAATTTTCAATTTGAAAAAAAAGGAAATGAAACTCACCTGCTCGATCGACTGGTTTTGTGCTGATTCCAGAAAATAGAGAAACAAAGAGTATTGCCATTGCAATAACTGCTTTGCTGATGAACGCCATTTTTCAGCTCACTTATGCGGTAGTCAATTTGTCACTGTTCAGTCGTGATGATGCTTTCCTTATTTAATAATGAAGCAAATTATCACATATCTCGGACATTCACATTTTTGAAGGCACAACTTCATAATGTTAATTGGGACACCCGCGAAAAATGTCATACTTGGATTATTGACGTACGTACGTCCAACCAAATATTTATTTATTTACTAGGTATATTTGCATTCACATTATGCGTTGAAACATATTTTTGACTCGGAAAATTCGAACGAGATGGAACCGGATCGTCGACATAAATCGGATTGAAGACTTGATCCGAGATGGAAGACAATAAAGGAACTATCTTAAAGGTGTGGACAAAAGGTTCTATTGGGAAGTGGAATTAATTATTTTTATCGCCCTTGATCCCCTGTGTGTAACTGAGTTCACGTTAGGTGGACACGCGTTTATATGTGCTGTACAAGTGTACAGTATCCAAGTTCCTCCTTGCTCCGCTGTTCCATTAAATTGGCCAAGTTTTAATTTACTTGGAAGAAAAAGGCTGGGATCCTTGGTGATTTTTTTCTGCAATAAATTTCACAAAGTTGTGTGCATTTCTCATGCCTTACTGAATATTAAAGTATATTCTTCGACGGCACTGAAATCTTCTGAGATTCAGAACTGTTCATATACGCGCGCGTGTCTCACAGCACATCAAGCAACTGAAGTTACTCAAGAATTCGCGAGGAGCATTGCACCATGCTGCATCCAGCGCAGAGCGCGATTGCGGATCGCTGACCGCAGTGATACCGGACAACATGCCATGACTTCCTCAACTCGGATGACCGGAAAACCTTGATCGCAATGAATCATACCGACAATTTGTTCATTCCTGCATGGTCATATATATAACTTGTGCTGCATGCATGCATTTATTATTATTAGTCTTTATATATATATATATTCCTCCATTTACTGTACTGAACATGAGGGTAATGGCATGCATCAACGCGAGAAAAGTGCTCCTGATTTGTCCACACAGATGCATAGGTGAAAACTGAAGCAGCATGATCCGGATAATAAATGGCATGCGTGCGTGACGTATATGTTACGTGCTGGCTTGTTCATGCTGTGAATGCATGAACTGCTGGTTGACCTGCATTTTCTGAAGAATTTCCCGGAGGAAAAAACCCGCGTCACTTTTATAGTTTTTACGCAGCAGCAGGTATGCTGCACATGTACACCATACGCAAGTACCAAAGGCGGAACCGTTGTACTTTCACATTACCTGAACTTGCGATAATAATATTGTTACGAATGCGAAGTATTTTGTTGGGACGCTTTCCAATTTTTCGAGCTCTGTCAGAATTTGCGTGCTGTACAGTACTGTACTAATCTGCAGGGTGGTGCAGTTCAGTACATGAGTTTCCGTCTAAGTGTTGTTCTTATTACCCACCCTGAATGGATATGAGCGCCCTATGTGAACCGGCATGACATGTGCGGTAATAAATGTAGATTGTCGTACACCGCGCTCCAGGGGAAGTTGCCGCGAAAATCTGAGATCCGCGTGAATCTTTGTGATCTGTCTCGCTGAAATGAAGTTTATTGTGACAGCGTTACGCTTGCGTTTGTTTAATATAAATCATGATTTGGCTTATTTTGAGAAAATTGAAGTGGCATGGGAGGTTCCGCATTTATTTGAATAGTTCGAAGTTCAAGCTTCGTGGCAAGCCACGTGTTGAGTCACCGGAAGAGGAATTTCGGATATCTTCGTCACACTCGCAGTAATTCTCTTGCAAATTATCGAATCCGCATAATAACCCAATTAACCGTGGTCTCATCGTGCTGAGCAGTGCTTGCGGTGGTATCGAAACGTGGAGCTCATTATATGCCGGCCGGAGAATTTTCCCTGTAACATCCTGCATTTTCTCACGAACGTTCACTTTCATGATTTTGTTCGTCGTATGTGTTAGACGGCAATACGTGAGTCGGGCTGTTCCGTGCATTGCACACGTGCATCCTGTATTCAGTTCAAGCCTGATAAACGGACCTCGTTCGCCGGCACCATGACAAACCCGGAGCAATTCATGCAGCTCCTGCAGTCTTTACTGAGCACAGAGAACGATGTTCGTTCTCAGGCGGAGGTAATTAACGATCTGTTGATTCGTCATAAGGTTTTCTGATGGAACTTTCATTCGCATCTAGACCACATATGAAAGCATAAACGCCGTAATCAGACTATGGGGAACGTTGGTGGCCATCAGAACTACAACATACTCGGACGACATCCGTTCACTAGCGGCTGTGCTCCTCCGGCGGCTTTTCACAGTTGACTTTGAAAATATTTACGCGCAGCTGACCCCTGAACAACAAACGCAGTTGAAGACTGGGATTCTCCAGTGCGTGTCACAAGATCAATCCGAAGTTCTTCGCCGGAAAGTTTGTGACCTTGTCGGCGAATTTGTGCGCAACATGATTAATGCAGACGGCGTGAATCAATGGCCGGAGTTCCTGCAATTTCTCTTCCAATGCGTGCAGTCCCCGAGTCCCGAAATCCGAGTTGCCGGTCTCCAGATCTTTCAGAGTGAACCGAACGTTTTTGGCGCAGCCCAGACTCAGTATTTGCATGTAATTAAATCTATGCTGGCCCAGTCCTTGGCGGATTCTGCCAACACCAAAATTCAAATAGCTGCTGCGAAAGCTTTAGTTTCCTTCATCAAAGCCAACGAAAGTGACCTTTCAACGATTCAAACTATGACTGAGCTCTCGGGCCCGTTGCTTCATGTAACCCATATGAGCATGGAAATGGGCGACGAAGACATTTTGAAAGGGTTGATCGAGATCGCCGAGACTGCGCCGAAATTTCTCCGTGGCCAGATTCCGTCCGTCATGGAACTTTGTTTGAAAATTGCCGTGGATCGTGATGCGGACAACAAGCTTCGCGAATTGTGCCTCGAAGTCATGGTGACTCTGTGCGAAACCGCGCCTGCGATGGTGCGCAAAGTAGGCTCAAAATATATCCCGTCGTTGATCCAAGAGTGCCTGAAAATGATGACGGAAATTGAACATGACGAAGAGGAATGGACCAATAATGAAGACGAGGAGGATGATGACAATGACGATATCGCTGTTACTGCCGAATCGGCCATAGATCGAATTGCTTGTGGACTAGGTGGCAAGTCTGTGGTGAACACGATCCTGGCCGCGTTGCCAATGATGTTCGCTGCTCAGGAATGGGAAGCTAGACATGCTGCGTTGATGGCTTTGTCCGCTGTAGGGGAAGGTTGTCAGAAGCAGATGGAAGCCTTTTTGCCGTCGATCATGGTGGAAGTTGTCAAGTTTATGCAAGACCCGCATCCGAGGGTCCGTTATGCGTGTTGTAATGCCATGGGTCAGATGTCCTCCGATTTCAGTCCTCTGTTTCAAAAGAAATTCAACAACATCGTGCTCCCTGGACTCTTGACCCTTCTTGAGGTTCGTGTTCTGCATCTTCAACTGAGGTTTTCCTAATAAATCAAATCCATTTCTTAGCTCAAATTCACGTCTAAAGATTTTTTCTCGTTTGCCGAAAACGTCTTTCTAATCGGTCTTTTAAAAATTCAAATATTTTCTTTTGCGATTTAACTTTACTCGTGGTTGTCAGAGAATTCCAACATTTTTAGTCGGACCTCTCCGAGTCGAACTTGAACTGAGCCACAAAAACGAAAATCCGATTTAGAGAGGTTTCTTTTAGTTTGAGAGGTTAAGGGAACTAGGTTGAAATTTTTAGAGAAGTAATTGGGCTGAAATTTTTCCTGCAACCTCAACAAGTGTTTCCAAAAGTATTTCCTTATTTATTCCCACTACGTTGAAAAGGTTAACCTCAGGAAACTGTCGTATTATTGAGTCTACAGGATGCAAAACCTCAAGCCAGGATTTCATGGATAAATTGAAGTTGCTCATTTTCTTCTCGAAAAACAGTACCATTCGAATTTCCTGTCATTCCTTGCCTACAAAAATTTTGACTTCCGGAGGTTCACTGTTGAAAAAATTTGAGTTGAAGGGGTCAGACCGTAATTGCTCGAAGTTCTGTGCATGTATTTCTTTTCCAGTTAATTTCTGATCCCTCTTCTTTTACTACAGATAGGCTCTCTACAACTAGGTTTTTTTTCGTTCTCATTGGTCTATGTAAATAATAGAGGCTCTTTGCAACAAAGTTTTTCTGAACCCCTGATTTTTGGTACAGAGAGATTCTACCTGCATTATAATATCTTCCAAATTGTGCGATGTATTTCGATGAAAAATTAGTATGCTGTAAAAGATGAATTGCTAGTACAGTACCAGCATAATTAGCTGTAGGCCAGAAAAATGCAAGCGGCACCTATGTAATGTTGACGAAAATGCCGTTATTTGGGGCGTAGAACGTGGAGAGAACGAAAATAATTTTTTAATTTCTGATCATTTTTTAATGGGAGATGAATCCTGTCATTTTCACCTCAGCGAAGGTCGCTATCCCTGTTTTTAGGCGCTTGATGATTGCTGTAGCAGACAAAAGTCGAGGGGAATATTTTTATCAATGTATAGTCGATGAATCAGAATTTATTCATGCAATGTTGAGATCAATTTTTGCTTCCTTGCAGTCGGATCCAAACCAGCGAGTTCAAGCGCACGCGGGTGCAGCTCTCGTCAACTTTGTAGAAGATTGCCCGAAGAACGTCCTCAGCATCCATCTGAACACCGTGATGGCCAAGCTGGAAGCCGTTCTCACGTGTAAATTCAAGGAGTTACTCGAGAAGGGCTCGAAACTAGTCCTAGAGCAAGTCGTTACGACCATCGCGTCTGTAGCAGATTCTGCCGAGGAAAAGTTCATCGACTACTATGACCGATTCATGCCTTGTCTGAAGTACATCATGCAGAACGCGAACGACGACAAGCTGAAGATGCTGCGCGGGAAGACGATTGAATGTATTAGTCTTGTTGGTGAGTTCGTTGATGGATTATTAGTAGACATTTGAGCGTAATCGAAATTGGGATTTTTCTTGTGTGTGTAAAAAGCAAGTGTCTTCTCAGTCGGTTGTGTTTTTGACGCTTGCTCCTTTGAGACGTGCTGTTTTGATGCAGTATTCAATTTTTCTGGTTCACGTTTTGATTTTCAAATTCTTTTTTCAACAGTTTTAGACTCGCTGTTCTTGTGTGCAAGCTTTTTGGCGCATCATCTTTTGTCATCGTTGTTTTTGTCCATTTTATGGACAGCGATTTGAGGAGATATCCCAAGAGCCTAAGATTATTAGGCTGTGTCTTTCGTCAAAAGATCTTTTGTGTCTTATGCGAAGGCAAAAGATCTTTTGTGTCTTTTACGAAGACAAAAGATCTTCTGTGTCTTTTGTCTTCGTTGTTTTTGGAACACGCTCTCTCGTGGTTCATCTGTTGCGACTTTCGATTTCTATGTCCTTTTTCATACGATTTTTTGCATGATCGTCTTTTTCCTCTTGCTGTACTTATTTTGTTCCCTGTTCTGGTCGATATTTTCGCATTCGCTGTTTTAATGCAGTCAAACCTGGATAAACCGCCACCATTTGTTCGTGGCGGTTCAGCAGGGTTGTTGGTTTATCAGAAGAGCTGAAATAATGTGAAAATTAAAACATATCTTATTCTTCTAGAAAAAACAAACAAAATAATCCAGGGATGCGTAAATTGTATGTAGCCAATGTTCCCGAGAACTAAATTTTATCCTGTTTTGGTTGTTTTTAATTGGAGACCTTTCACAGAAACTTCATTCTTGTTGGCGGTCTATCAAAGACAAAAAAAATTGGCAGGAGCGTGCTTGAGTTGTCAGTAATTTTTGGCACATGATGAATGGCGTTTTAGCGGGGTATTCAATGCTTTTATCATTTGGGAAGATTTTTTTATCATAATATATTCGTGTTCACTGAGGGTGAATATAATTTTAATTATAAAAATATAGATTTTTTTTCGTTGGCTAGGGTGGCGTCTCAACGGGGGTTTGGCTATATAGTACTTTTAATTTTGTGAGTGTGAATGTGTTGGAGTTTTCGTTCTAGCGCTTCGGGGTAAAAATCATACGATTTCGGACGAGTTCATTAGAATTTCTATGATAATTTTTAGGTTTGGCAGTTGGCCGTGAGAAATTTTCGAATGACGCTCGAGAAGTGATGGACCTTCTCTTGCGAACACAAACGGGAGAAGTGATCATGCCCGAAGACGATCCCCAGCTTTCCTTCATGATTTCATCCTGGGCCCGTATTTGCAAGATCCTGGGCCCGGACTTTGGGCCTTACCTCCCGATGGTCATGGGCCCGGTGATGCGTGCCGCGAATCACAAGCCCGAAGTCACAGTCCTCGACTCTGACGAGATGGAGTCTGTCCACGGCCACGACGACGAGTGGCAATTTGTTTCTCTGGGGGAACAGCAAAACTTTGGCATTCGCACCGCTGGCCTGGATGACAAGGCCACTGCCTGCGAGATGTTGGTGTGTTACGCGCGGGAAATGAAGGCCGGCTTTGTGGAGTACGTGTCGGAGGTGGTCAAGTTGATGGTGCCGTTGTTGAAGTTTTATTTCCACGACGCCGTGAGGACGGCGGCGGCGGACTCGTTGCCGCACTTGCTCGAGTGCGGGAAAGTTCGAGGACCGGACTTTGTGCGGGAAATGTGGAATTATATTCACCCGGAGTTGTTCAAGGCGTTGGAGCAGGAGCCCGAGTTGGAGGTGTTCGGAGAACTCCTGGGATCGTTGGCTAGGGTACGTTTTGAGATTTATCCTTTTTTTTTTGAATATGCGAGTGTATATCATGCCCTTATTTTTCTATTTTATGGACCGCGATTTGAGGAGATATCCTAAGAGCCTAAGATTATTAGGCTGTATTAAAAATGTATTAAGCCTAAGATTATTAGGAAAAAAAAAACTATACGAGGGTTGTCCCGCTTAGGCGTGACCTTGGTCATTTCCAAAGTAGGGATGACCTCAGGAAAAAGTATTATATAGTCCATGATGTTGTAAGGTTTTGAGATTTACAGTGAGACCCCCACATGCAGACACCTCAACATGCGGACAATTTGACATAGGGACATTAATTTTTGAATAAAAAGGGCATAAAAAAAGCCCAACATATGGACACTGACTTGACATGAGGACATTGCATGATAAAATTGGCAATACATTTCAAAAAAATTGACCTTTATTAGGCTTAATTGCAAGAAACAGATACAGTTTTTCCAGCCTTAAGATCCATGCAAGGAAATTTTTTGGGTATTTCTCCCATCATTTTCCCATCCATTCAACTAATTTATAAAAATACCAATTGCGTAAAGGGGCTTCCTTCTCACTTTGTGACTTGAATATCATCTCTGCAGATGCCAACATCTCAATGTACTTTACAGAGGTTCACTAGTCAATGCTCCAAATGTTCTTATGGAGTTGAAAAGATATTCACTGAATCAAATTCAAGTGGCGAAAAATTTTTTTCATGGCATTCTGAAGAACATTTCTTCCATAAAACACCAATTAAAAATTATATAGTTTAAGTCTATGGGAAAACAATACTTGACTTAGGGACACTCTGGATTCACCAATTATGTCCGCATCTAGGGATCTCACTGTATTTTCAAGTTTTGAAAAACATTTTTAAATTTACTGCATGATCATGAGTGAAAACTTTCCATTTATGACCAGAGTTCTCCACCCATGTCACAGGGTGCTGAAATGTTTTCAGGCCAGCTGAAAATTGAAATTTTCTGCTATTTTTATTATTTTTAAAATGTAGGAAAGGTAATGGTTTAAACTGAAAAGTAATTTATATTTGTTAGCTGACTTGAAAATTGCACCCTGTGACATGAGTGGAGAACTCCGTCTGTAACTGGAAAATTTTTTCTCATCATCATACAGTAAATAGTAAAATGTTTTTAAAAATCTGAAAAAAATCCCAGAACCTTCCAACATCATGGGGTATATCATATTCAATTTTTTAAAGTTATACCTACTCTACAAATAACTAAGGTAACAACCCTAATTTATTTTCAAACGAAAGCATCCTTTGAATACATGCAAGCATCAAATTACCTTTCTGGTGTTCTTTCTGGGAACCTACGATATCTGACTAAATTTAGGTTTCCCCAGGAAAGGGAAAAATGGTGTCTCACAAACCTTGCTCTTCCCCTTCTTTCAATGATTCATGCATCTTCGAGTGCTAAAAGTTGATCATTGTTTGACTATTTTATGTTTGACTATTTGATCATTGTTTAACTTTCAATACCAAAAGCGTTGAAGAAAATAAATTCTTGATTGTTTTTTGGGCCGAAAACTGGAAGATTGCCGGAAAAGTACGCAAATTGCATGAATATTAGAATAGACTAGTGCAGTGTTTTTGTATTTACGCCGTTCTTGGCGAATTTGTGTGGCATTTTCACTGTACATGCTGGAGAAACATTTGAAAATTTTTGAATTTCTCGCATTTAAAACGATTCGGGAGGGGGAAAAAACCGTGTTGTGTTGCCCAATATTCGCAGTGTGCTGAAACTTTTTTTTTTTTATCAGACGTGTGGAAAATATTGTTTGAGCGTGGCCAAGAATTCGATCACTACTTGAATAATTTGAACTCCTCCTGTTGGGAATAAATGTTTGGAGTGTCTTTCCCATGATAGAACTTCGGATGGTCTTATGTTCCCCTGACTTTCTGTCTCTCTCTGCTCATCTCGAATAAATGCCGCACCTTTTTTGGTTAGTGCGGGGATTCCCCGAATTTTTTGAGTACTTGCTGCACTAAGTTTTTTTTTTTTTTTTTTGCCTGTCTTTGTGGAATAAATTTAAACTTGGGTTTGGTCTTGAGCTGGTGTGAGGAGGGGTTTATCTTTGTGAATGCAAATAGCTTTTCCACCTCTGATAAGATCTTGTTATTCTCACGTTTGAGCGTGCGTGAGAATTTCTATTTTTGTTGCTGCATGGTATAAGTGCAGCAGCATCTGAAAATATTCGTATCTGTAGGTATCAGTTGGAAAATCGTGTCAGTAAGTTGCCTTTTTTTTTTTAATCTGAACGAATCCTCGATTCCCATGGGTTAATAAACGGTACTGATGTCGAGAAGTTTACTAAATTTCGTTAGATTTCATCAGGTTCACAGGTTCATTCATTCGGGTGCTGTATGCCTTGAAAATTACGAAATCAATGTGCGGTATTCAGGTGAAATTTGAAGCTCTGATGGGGAAGATTTTTCTGTTGAGTTTAAAATCAAATGAAGAGTTCGTTGATGACAGGTTGGGTTTTTCGTTGTTATTTCGACAGCGAAGCTCGGAAATTAGTAAGTTCAGGCTGGATTTATTCAAAAGTGTGAGTCATTATGTTCGTGAATTTTCTAAATCTGTGCCTCGAACTTCGAGCGACGTGAACGAAAAATAGTGATAATAAAATATAATTTTGTAAAATATTTAAAAAGCACTTGAAAAATTAATAGAGAAATAATTTAAAAAGATAATTTTCTATATTGTTGAAAAGGAGAGAAAAGACATTCTTTTTTCGTTATTAATTTTAATCATAACGAAAAAAATGATGTTTTTATTAATTTTTTTATTAATTATTTATTATAATCATAATTAATCATTTAGAAAATCACGCTATAACGAAGCCGAGTATTCGTGAAATTATCTTTTCTCTTTTTTTAACAAGTCTAGCTTTTGTGTTTTTTTGTGTTGAAATTCATTTTTATTCGAATACTGTATTTCTGTTGGATGTTGATTTAATGACGTGATATATTTCTCAAAAGCCTTGTTTTTATAATTGCGAACGGTTTCCGAAAGAATTCATAGTTGTAAAACGAAAAGAGCTATTAATTCAATAATACGAGGTTTGTTTGGAACAGACCAAATTTCGTTACATTTCAGCGTTATCAGTGAGAAGGACATCATCACGGTGTCGACCTATTTTTTGTTATCAAATTTCCTGTCCAAAGTGACCTAAAAATCTTCAGCAAGCTAACATGGTCAGCTTGGAACTCGTGTGTTGGCGTGAATAGTTTTGATTTTAAACCGAAATAAACAACGAAGGAACGATTTGGCTTTATCGCGACGGAAAAATTTTATCGCTTGTTGTGATTTTGGAATTTGTATACGATTATGTGAGCTTAATTAAATTTTTAACGCGCATCGAGAGTTGGACATCTTCTTTTTTTCGATGATTGTCGCGTGCAGCTTTCTTTTGTGATTTTTGTGCTAGAATTAATTGTCCTTGTTGATGAATAATTAGGTGGTGAGTTGGGAGGGGGTGGCTTTTATTGACTTTAATCCCGTGATGAGACCGGGAAATTTATTTTTTGGGAAGCCTTAATGGAATTTTGATGATTTTTTCAGTGTATTGAAACATTAGGACCGGAATTCTTCGATCAGAATATCCTCAATTCGGTTTTCCAGTCCCTCGAGAAAGCCTTGAAGGAGCATTTCGAACGAGAAGATAAGCGACAGGAGACGAAGAAGGATGAAGATTACGATGAAGTGAGAACCACCGATGAATATCTTCGATTGTTACCTCTTTTTTGTTTTTTTTTTATAAACGTGTGTTCATTCTTGTGATCCAGGAAGTTGAAGAGCAGTTTTTGGAGGACAGAATGGACGATTCGTACGAATTGTCCCGAGTATCCGAAGTTCTGCAGGCACTGTTCAAGGCATTCAAGAACGACGCGATTTACCATTACTTTGACCGACTTTTGCCGTATTGCGTGAAGTTGCTCGTGAGTTATCATTCCTTGTTTTGGTGTTTTCATTTGAGTTTAGTGCAGTGTGTTTTGTGTTTGTTTCTGGGTTTTGATGTTTCGGGTCACCGAGCTTTTCAGATCATGAGATTTAAAGCCTCTTTTACGAGATAATGTTTGGGCGTTGTGGGTGGGATCATTATCGTGTTTTTTTGGGTGTATCATTTCAGAAAATCTATGATCTCATTATTGTGAAACATTAGGTTTCCAAAGAAAAAAAAACGTAATGTTCGTGGTACAGGATACTAATGCATGTGTAAGCAAGGCGGCAGGTAATTTCGAACCATGCCATCTGTTTATTTTGCTATAATCATCGTTTTACGATTATTTCAATGTGGGTAGATGTCGCTAGCAGTCCGGTAGTTCTTTCGAGTTCCATCTGCGTTGGAAATCCGTTTGGTTCATGATCATTAGCGTACGAGGATTTTTTTTGTTTTTTTCGAATATTAGGAAGGACGTTTTTATTTTCCTCCTTGGAGCTTTGTTTTAACGTTGCAGATACAAATGTTGAGTTTCAAAGATTGAATTTTTTAACAAAAGTATGTCTTCGTACGATTCTCATTACCAAATTGCTTGTACGGTATTTAACAATGATGACTGTACTTTTATTTAGAGTATGATACTGGTCGGCTTAAGAGACTTTTCTTCAGACCAATAAATCTAGCTTTTAATTACCATTTCCGCTTGTTTTATATCTCGAACCTCCTTGAGTAAAATATCTCCTATGTCAAATTATTTTCAAATAGCTGTCGGAATTCCGTTAGAAATAATGCATTAAATACCTCTGTAACTTGAAGGCTTTCCCCCTCAAACCCCCGTGACTCGGAATTTTCTGGAGCCCTTTTGGATATCATTTTATTGACGCAGGAACGAGAGAAGCTATAAAAATGTTACTCAATGTGATTTTGAAGGAAGTGAAAACCTAATTGGGCAAATGAACCCTTGCCTCCAAGTTCAGTATATTCTGTCATCATTCAAAAATTAATTTAAGGCCCAAATAATCGCAATTTTTCTGTCTTTCCCCGTTCAAAAATGCTTGTTTCCCTAACTCGAATTTTTTTCGCTGGTCCTTCGAATGTCGACTTGAATGAGATTTGACTGTAGTTGCGAAATGATGTGAATTAACGCATTCGTCGATTCGAATTACTGAAGTTGATATTTTGGAGTGATTTCTACAACCTGCTGACATTTTTGCATCTGATTAAAGGAACCCGGTCGACCGACTGGAGAT